AAAAAGGAGGGGGGTCGTACAGACTCGACTAAAATCCCCAACCAGTGATGTGCCCTGCTCGTGTTTTTTAGAGGGATTGTTGACTTTTCGGTGGTTTTTCTTCTACCATGCATATGCACTGTATAACCCCCCCCCCCCGCTCGAGCTCGACTGCAAAACTCTTGGGAAAAACTAGGGAAGTTTTCGGGATATTTCGGAAAAAGTGGTGGGAAGTGGAGAAAATCTGAGAAAGTGGTAGGTAGGATGGGTAAGCGGAAGTCCTATCAAGCCACCTTCTAGGGGGGAGGGAGGGTGTACGGACTAGACCGAAATCCCCAACTAATGATGTGCCCTGTTCGAACCGGTTCGGAATGAAACTAGTTAGTTAGTTAGTTATTTGATTTTTAAAACCGGGAGAGCCTGGGCCCTTTCGGCGGCTCGCCTCGAGTCATCCTAGCGTTTGGGGACATTCGTCATACTCCCCAATGCAACCACCCCATCGACCAGCACCCCCACCATAGTACCGCACCCCCTCGAAATAACAAGAGCAGAGCGCGGCCGAAAAATGCCCCGCGAAGGGTCCTCTCCCGAGCGTCCAAAAGGGGCCACACCTGGCCCGTCGAGGAGGACTTGCATTGATGCGAAAGGGTGTAGGACAAGAATACAGTGCATAACAAAAGTACGTAGATGCCCTAAACTCCCTACTCTACCCGAGCACCCTTGATCCTGGTGAAACGAGATCTCCCCTATTCAATTCCTCGGGTACGGAAATGCAGTATACTCCGCTCCACAGCACCTTGTGGACGTTTCACATTTTTTATTGCTGGGAAAATTTCTTTGAATTTTTTGTACCAAAAGTGTGAGGACACCTAAGCGAGAGGCTGAGACCATACCCAGGTCAACTTGCTCACCAACCTTGGGAGCTTCTGACTGTTGCAATTGAAATCAAGATCACTTTTCATCGTAGTCGCCGGCATTCTAGGAAATAAATGGGCACTTGTCCCAGGTACCTATGGGAATTTTCGTGTTGACTGGAAAGCTCGATCCTTGAGAATAACTTATACAACACACTAATATGAAAAGGTGTAGGACAAGAATAGAGATCTTTACCCATTTGTAGTGTTCTCTGATGACTGCAAAAACGCTTGATATTCTTGGGCTTTTGGGTTAACTGAGGGTTGTTCCTTGGATTCGATTCCTCGATGTGGAAGGCCGTGTTAAGTCGCTTGTGGGACGGATGGGGGTCGTATTTGGTCCGAGTAGGTTTTTTTTCTTAATTGCTGAGTTTTGCCTTCTCATGCGCATTATATACCAACC